AATATTGTAGACTATAATATAATAAACACAATAGACTTAAGAGAGAGAGAGAGAGAGAGAGAGAGAGAGAGAGAGAGTTCTGGTCATATTGAGTCACGAAATATTTGAATTTATTACAAACTATAGTTAATTGAAAAATGCTTTTTAAATAACTAGTATTTCTCTAATGCCATCAAAAACTAATTTATAATAATTCATAAGAGATTTAATTTAAATATAATTATATAATAATAATTAACATTTAGAGTTAGTGTGTGAAATTCTCATATATTTTATTAGTATTATATCATTTTTAAAAAATATTGACAAAACAAAACATTTTTTCAATAACTATCTAATATTATTTATGTATGTAATGTAAAGTTATACTTTAGATATAATTCAATGAACACAATTGTTGAGCTAATAAAATAAAACTAAAAAATAGAGACATGTGTTATATATGGGATTAAAGTGAAAACATTTGGTTTGCTGCAGACAAACACCAGTTTATGCAAAAAATGACAAATTTTGGGACACAATTTGGTTCATATGAATAACACAATAAATAGGTTAACAATACTGAAAATGGTTTGTATTATTGAATGTTATGAATGCAAAAACACTTTCAATAGTTTGTAATAAGAGTAGTCTTTTGCTTTAACATGAGCTCTCTCTCTCTCTCTCTTTCTTTCTCTCTCTCTCTCTCTCTCTCTCTCTCTCTCTCTCTCTCTCTCTCTCTTTCTCATTCACTCACTCACTCACTCACTCACTCACTCACTCACTCAGTCTTTCTTTATCTACATTTTCAATATATTGTCAGCAATGTTATTGTGTATATGAATGTGTGATAAGTATTTAGCTAATATAAATATATTTTATATAAAAAATGTTGTAACAGTTGGCAAAAATAACATTGATAATTTTGGCAAAACCTAATATTTTGTATCATATATTTTTCACAAAAAGATTACTGCATAAATTAATGAAAAAAAATATTTATTTATTGAATAGTTATATAACATTTTTAATACTTATGTATATTTGTAATAAACATTAAAATATTTTGTCTCATCTATCAATTCCACCCACAATGGGATGCATTTGTTTCTCATTTGAAGCCTTATTTTGAATACCCGAGTCATCTATGGCTAAGCGTGGGCTCAATATCTGTTTGAATGTGTTGTAAATCCTGAACTTATTGAATAATAGATAATATTTATTAACGAAATAAGATTATATAAGTTTTATATTTGAACGGCTCATTCATATCCTTAAAGTTTTGCTATCGAAAAAAGACATATTTTCTGCAATATTTTATTATTTATATTATATTATTAATACTGTATATTTTAAACAGTGAATTCAATGTAATTTTTTATAAAATAATTAATTTCTTAGAAAATGTGTAAAAATGTGTAATATAAATTAATTCCATAAAACGTTAATAATAATAAATATATTTTATTATATAAAAAATATTGTTTTATACTAACTATCCATAATATATTTATAACTTTTATATCTTATAATTTAATTAAACCTTTTGTTTATATAAAAAATTATTTTTATTTTTTTTAGTTTTTATAAGCTATAATTTGTGTGTGCTTTATATTTAATGTAATAATTGAAATAAATTATGTGCTCTAATGAAAGCATAATTTTAAAAACAACAACAATATCAACAACAACACCAAAAAATACTGAAGTTTAATATATTTAATATCAGAATAATATCTCAATGTATTCGTTGATTTATTTGCCCTCATCTTCATTCAAGTCAAGACCCGGTCCTTAAACATGTCTAAGCCTGGGATATGAACTGACGTAATACTAATTAATAATAATCTTATGGCAGTTTTAATGGTGGATAATGTATCAAAATTGTGTTCAGACTTACAAAATACATGAGTATTGCTAATAATTTATACAATATATATACACACAGTTTATATATAATGCTATCAAAATTGGGGGTAAATGTTGGAAAAGCACATGTAGATCATAGCCCCATCAAAGTAGTAAACGCTTAGTGAGTGCACAGGCATTACATAACATATTTGATAACTTCTCTCTCAACTCAAGTCATATCTAAGATTTATTATAATGATTAGAAAAGAAGTAAATTTCTCATCACAACTTAAAACTAAAAAATGATTTTTGTTTTTGTTTTAAACATAGATTCACAAAAATTGTGATTATCTAAACTGTCGGTCGAGAAAAGCCCAAATAGTCAACTAACTTGACGTCCAAATTAACCCAAGTTTTAACTAAATATTTTCAATAAATTATCCAATAATATCATAAATTTTTAAAGATATATAAAGTTTCATAAAATACTTATTTCTTAATTTAAATTTTATTAAACATAAACAAAATTAAGAGTTAAAATATTTTTTTTTTGTTAATATAAATAATTTTCTAATGAATTAATGAACGGTATATGAATCATTATTTTTTATATATGGCATTATTCCAAAGTATATATTTATATATTTCTAAACTATATATATATATATATATATATATATATATAATAGCAATAAGAAAATAAGAAAATAATAATATATAAAATATTTTATTATTTTAATAAAATAAAATTTTTGGACAAAAAAATAAAGTACACGATTTGGTATGTTTGCTGACCGCCTGCAAAGGAATCAGATATCGGAAGGCGTAGCTGTCGGGGACGCCCTGTTTCGTGCGCTTAAACTTTTAGCTAATATCACTATATCTTATTGCATCTTTCTTTCTCTCTTTCTCTCTTTCTCTCTCTCTCTCTCTCTCTCTCATTGCAAGTAATGTTCTGTAGATTTAAGAGTGGCTGATAGATATACAGCACGGGTATGAGTGTGTATGTATGTATGTATGTATGTATGTGTGTGTGTGTGTGTGTGTGTGTGTGTGTGTGTGTGTGTGTGTGTGTGTGTGTGTGTGTGTGTGTGTGTGTGTGTTGGGAGTGCGGCATCACGAGTGGCGACTGAACGGGTCAGCACAACACAGAATATAATGTAATTCCTGTAAATTGCTTTTACTATTTACTGCCTACTGTTGTGCTAAAACATTGAGAAAGTGATAGTTTGACGTCGACTCTAATAATTCATATATTACTATACATTCATTTAAAATTATATTACAAACATTGATAGATATATTCTCTAAAAAAATTGTAAAAAAATTGGCATAGAATTTTGGATACCGTTCCCAATGCATGACATTATAGCACTAGTAGTCATGAAAGAATATCTATGGGAATATTTCGTTAATAATTATTTTTTAATAACAAATTTAATGCAAAACTTATCAAAACACTGTTAATATAGAAAATGTATGAATAATATGTATAGTAATACTAAACATAATTATGTCACTCAAAGATTGATTAGCGCCGAGTTGTATGATAGGAAGGCATTACTATCTGCCAAACCATTTGTTATTGTGTGCTGTAGTTTGTGATGCCTTACCTTTCTTTAGCAATACTCTGAAAGCCAAACATATATATATATACTGTATATACAGTGAGAGACCCATCAAAGCCGTAGCGCTGGCGCCAGGAGTACCTCCTATTTCTTTTCTTGGCTATACATTGCTTATGATAAGTCTGTATTGAAGACTACAGCACTCAAGTACTGTAAAGTCCTGAAGAGTCGCCGAATTAGACATTTTTTGACCAAAATTTTCTTAATTCTCTCTTTTTGCTCATTCTTTACAAACATTTATTTTGTTAACAGTTTTGCACTTCTTTTCGGCGCTCATTTCACTCATTTATTCTCATTTATTATCATTACTACGATTACTATTTACTGTTTAAAACTTTGTCGTAAAGTTTGTTATTTACCTTTTTTCCGGTAAGTGATCTATAATTAAATAGCAAATGTCAGAGTAATTAAAGATCACAACACTAACAATAATAATAATAGTGATAATAGTAATAATGGCATTAAAAATAACAATAATGTTTATAACTTTCAGTGATACACTTTGTATGTGTATGTATGTATGTATGTATGTATGTATGTATGTATGTATGTGTTGTGTGTGTGTGTGTGTGTTGTGTTGTGTGTATTTATGTTGTGTGTATTTATGTGTGCAATCGATAATTAATCTTAAGTTATGTGGTAAGTGATGTCCAGAAGGACAATGACATGTAAAAGACACAGAAATTTGAATTTGCGTGCATTTCCTAAGCTATAAAACAATAAGTGCTTTAAATATAAGAGTCACTGTAAACACACACATCAACCACACGGCAAATGCATTGCGTAACAAATGCATGTATTTCCTTAAGACTTAACGGTCTAAAACAGTTGACTTAATTTTATAATTATTTTTTTCTCGTTATACTACTATTACGACTACTATTTTATATTTAAACGTATTGTAAAACTAGCCCATACTTAATGTTGCTATTGTTTGCATCAAAATTTTTCATATATTCAAATTAAATAAAATTTATGAATAAATAAAATTTACAACAATAATAATAATAACTATTAAAGAATAGTTATTATTATTATTATTAATATTATATAAATTTTTTATATAAGTTAATTTTAGATAAAAATAAATAAATGAAACCAATAGAGAAAATATTGATATAAATAAAGTGTTGATTTGGTAGTCTATTACAGCAATAATACAATTTGAATGCAATGAGAGAGTGAGTGAAATTGTGATATAAAGTTGATATTATGTATTGCATACACAGCTCAGGCAACACAACGCTAGACATGAGCGCTAGTGTATGCCATACACTGTATGATATACTATGAGCTGAGTCGAGCCTACCTGAAGGTGCAGTTGCCTTCAGGCCATTGGGAGGTTCAGAGCGCAGTTGACTGACAGCTGAAGGAGTGGTTGTTTAGTACAGACTCTATGTTAGAGATGGGCTTCTGAATGGTAAATGTAGCCAATGGTAGAACTGGTATAAGAAGGTCGGGTGTTTCCCTCAATGACGGCGCTTATGTGCACTAGTGATGGTGATTACGGCCAGTCGGCTAAAAGGCGGTTGCGTTAGTTGTAAAGCTGTTGATCGCTTGCAAGAGAAGAGACAATATTATACATAAGCGAAGAGTAATTTTGTGTTAAAATACAAACAATTCTTCATCGAAACGGTGTCTCCAGAGGTGTGTTCCTCTAACTTCTCGTAAGTGAATCTCATATGAGAAGTAATCTATCGGTTTGTTGTGTGTGTTGTTGTGTTTGCAAAACATTTGTTTGCAATCAACTATTAGACTAACTAACTAACTGTTTGAAGTGTCTGTAATACTGCAAACACGTTGAACTTTGCGGACTTCTCTACCACTTACCCGAGTATGGCGGGTACAGTGGATGGTCTGGACCAGGACTCGGTGACCAACAAATCTGCTTTCATGGACATCCAGCAACAGGCAGCAGCAGCCGGACTCACTATGCCTCACCATCAGGCATACAGTTCCATCAGTAGGTCATACTCGGCTCAAAATTCAGCTCACGAGGCATTTGCCGGACAACAGAGATCATTAGGTGCTTATCCTTTTGCTGCTATGAATAACTCACAACTTCATAACACATACTCTCATCACACCGGACACCCATATCTCAGCACTTATCCAACAAACGTGACTACATGTGCTCCTTGTCCATCACCTCCAAGAGATGGTAAGTCAATATTGTTGATGTTTTATCAGTTATAATATTGTTAGCTGTCATGTGATTCGTGTGTTTATCTGTTTAATGCAAACAATTGAATAGCATTTCTAATCATAAGTAATGAATAGCTGTAAGCAATCTTTAACTTTTATCCAAAAGATGTGAAAACATAAACACTTTACTCTTATATAACTTAATCTATAAATAATATAACTTTTAAAATTAAAGTAGTTTATTTTAAAATCATATTTGCAATAATTAATATTAATATCAATAATATGTTTATTTAATTATAAATGAGTGACAAATTATCATTATCAGTGAACAAAATATCATTAGAAAAGTCATAAAAATTATTTTATTATTAGGAAGTTGTATTGTGAATAGTGTGAGCATCACAACACGTTTGGAAACATTGAATTAGATGAGAGAGAAAGAGAGAGAGAGAGAGAGAGAGAGAGAGAGAGAGAGAGAGAGAGAGAGAGAGAGAGAGAGAGAGAGCTATGAGACAGACATGTGGTGCGGGTGTCGGAAGCACTCGACTGCTGCATACATTGCATACACTTATAATTGGACCGAACCCTCAAAATTATAGGTTTATGTTTTCCCTTTTCTATGAATGCACTCAACTATAATATTAAACAAAATAAAAAATAGTAATCAGAATAATAATAATAATGTCACCAGAATTTAGTTAATTCTCTAATTTCATACAATTATTTTTTATTACATTAGATTTATCTCTTAAAGAATCGCAACTATTATTGTATTATTAGTGGTTTCATGTAATGAATAATATGTTTTTAAAAATTACAACTTTAACAATTGGCCATTTAACAAATAAATATGTAAATATTAATTTAAGTAACACAATATTTAATTGAAAACAATGTTTAATAACAAAACATATTTTTTTTGTATAATATTTTATTTTATTTTTAAAGTATAAATTTGATTCAAAATTTTCTAAGAAATTTATAAAAAATAGTTTTATGTATATATATAATAGTGAATTAAAAATAGCAATGTCTATTGAATATTATTATATTATAAGACTATATAAATGTTTTTAAAGGAAAACTATTGAAAAAATTGTTATACACAGTGAAGAACTGTATATACAGTACTGTATAATAATAAATGATAGGAAAAGAGGGGTGAATCGCGTGACTCAATAACATAAGAGTAAATAATGTAATGTTTGTATTGAATCTAATTTAAGCAATGAATTGTTGTACTATCGGGACATAACAGTGTAAAATGGATTAGCAATCTGTAAACATATGATAATACAATTTTTTCGGTTCATTCAAAATTCATTATTTAGTTATACAAAAATAATATTGTTTGCATTAGACACCTAAAAATGCCATATATATAAATCTAATGGCATTTTCAGGCACAAAAAAAATATATTTCACATAAAATATTTATATATAATGTTAGGTTAACTTATACTGTATATAGAAGGTAACGAAAATAAGGAAAAACAAGCATAAAAAACAAAAGACAAAAAATTTGTATGAGTTATAATTAACTCATAATTAGAGCAAATTTTGTTTTTATTTAGAAATTTTGTATATAAATAAAAATGATTGATATATTGATATATTTATTTATTGATTGTATTTTGTTTGTTATTTATTTAAAACTTTTTATATGATTGTTATATAGATAAGAGTGGTCTGGAAGAGACACTTCGGGTGAATGGAAAGGGAAAGAAAATGAGAAAACCCCGAACCATATACTCGAGTCTTCAGTTACAACAATTGAATCGACGGTTCCAACGAACCCAATACTTAGCACTACCCGAGAGGGCAGAGTTGGCCGCATCGCTAGGACTCACACAAACACAGGTAACCAACAAATTATAAAAAACAAACAGTAATTTGATTTATATCTTACTTTGTTTTTTGTGTTTTTTAATCATACTTAACATTATATGATATTATAAGTTATTATACTGTATTATAAGCGATATAACAGTAATAATAATACGTTATATTACTCAATGACTTGGTCTCTGAATATTTAGGTTATCTCTTAAAATCGCTATTCAAATGAGTGAGTTTAAGCAAATAAATATATATCTTAGACCATAGAAAGAGAGAGAGAGAGAGAGAGAGAGAGAGAGAGAGAGAGAGAGAGTGGGCTTTAAAGCAAAAGTATGTAAATCAAAGATAATGCATACAATGTATACACAATACATGAATATAAGTGAATACAAAGACAATACATGTATAGCATCGACTAATACAATGGATGGTAGAGTTAGAGATGGTTATGCTTATAGTTAGGTGCTGTCTCTCATATAGACAATGAGCACTCATTGTTTTGCCAGTTTTCTTGAGGGCTCAGCAGGTATTCCTGAGAAGGGATTTCAAGGCTGTAATATAAATGTATATTTAGTTTATATATATATATATATATATATATATATAGTTTAGATGTGAGTGCAACAAGTGCTTCACCAGTCAAGTGGTGTTACACTGACTGATAGGATCTGTTGACGGTCTCATCACTAGATAGGGTATCCCATTGGCAAACGTACATAAATGACACTCATCATGACAGCCAGTCCTTATGGGTTCATTAGTTATAAGTGCTCTCACAGTAACTCATCAGCACATAAGAGTACTACCAGTGCCAGTGAGTGGTGGCCAGGCTTTTAAAGTGTTGGCCAATGCGATTATAAATTGTCAATCTATTAACGTTAACATTAGGAACTAACCATACAATATACTCTAATACTGTAATACTCTTTGGGAACTCTATGGGGTTTACACGTAAATAACACTTCACTTTTGATGGCTACGGCACCACTGCTTTAATAGTACTCCAGACTATTGGCAAACACAGTGGGAACAGTTGCCAATATCACTATAGTTGTCACATTAGCAACACATATAACATATTTATTGCACATTATTGTTACCGTATTTTTTGTGTTAGTCTACAAATTAAACAAACAGTTTCTTTACAAATGATTCACAATTACTCTATACATAAAAGTGAGAGAAAAAAAGAAAGAAAGAGAGAGAGAGACCTAAAACTAAGTATTTGTACAGTATTTATGATCTGTTTATTTGTTTGAATATAACCGTATAATGTGTTTAAGTTAGTTAAAAAACAAACAACAAAAATATACAAACAAAATGTTGATTTTATTAAATCTAATAAAAAATTAATATAACTTTATTCATAATAATTATATAAAAACATTCATTGCTTATTAATTTTTGTTAATTTTTTTGGTGAACTATATTTTTTATTAGATATTTTCATAATAATTGCTTAAAGTAGCTATAAATCAATTAATTATATAAAAAACAAATTAATAGTTTTGCGAGAATTAGAGAGTATAAGGCGTCACCTGAAATGAAGCACACAATGAATGGATGAATGTATTTCTTGTATGTATTTAATATATCTCTCTATTCTCTCATAACATGTTTTCTTATGAAATGCGGGCTCAAGTCTGGAGTAAAAACAGTTGAGAGTCTATTATGTGTTATGGCATCTCTAATAAGCAGTGTTGTGGGCGCTAATTGCAGGGATACTCACTTTTATTAGGGCTTCCAATGACGTTGATTACCAACTTTATGGCCAAGTGCTCTATGAGGTGTGGAAAGGCTTTATCCCATTAATTGCTGCCTTTTATTATTATTATTACTTTTATTAGTATTATCATTATTATTATATTAAAAAATGCTACTTAATAGAGATTGTGATAATATAATTATTTTTGATAACAACCTGATTAATTTATATACTTTCTGGTGTTTTCCTGCATCCCATACCTGAATGTATGTTTTAAGGACCGGCACCACCACTTTACAGATCCGTTATATTGTATTAACACACTTTCCCAAAGAAAAAACTGTTAATTATAATTATGTCCAATCATTTAGATATCAAATATTTATGTTTATTATTATTTTTTCTTTTACCCATACATTTAGTTTTTTATTTCAAATTTTCTGTAGATAATATTTATTATATATATATATATATATGGCATATATTGTAAAAAACTAAACAAAAATTTACAGAGTATGACATATAAATATTTTCACCCCTCATTTATTTATTTTTTAATGCGCTAATACATAAGTGTATAGATTAATTAGCAATTAAAAAACGATGCATTTTTTATTATAATGTTTTATATATTATTTTTATGATATTTAATTGCTTATCGTATAATATAATGTTTTGTTGTAATTATATATTCATATCACAACATCCAAAGACACGCAAAAAATACTTTTTACAAACAAAACACTACAGAAAATACCATAAGTTTTAAGAATATAAATGTGAATATAAGACATTTGAACCAACGTTTTGAATAACAAAACATTTTACTTTCAATTCATATAAAGAAATAGAAAGAAATGTTTGAGCAAAATATATATCTATAATATATTGAATTAATGGCAGTTAAATATGTTGATCATAGACTAAGTAGAGAGAGTGAGAGAGATATGCATTTTATGTTATGTTTTTGACATATTTGTATCAAAAGTACTTCACTAAAAATATGTTATATTTTTTATACACGTTATATGTATGTAAGTTTGAGTAGTGATCTGTATATCCAGAAGCAGCAAAAAAATATGTTGAGTTTCCCACTGTTTCTACTGTTTTTGTTTTATATTATTTCTAACTCAAACTCTCATTGGTTTATATATTAAAATGGTTTTTCAATTTTTATTGGAAACCGATATCACACTTGTATAATAAATAGTGTAGTAATTTTTATGGATACTTAAAATTAATTTTATTTGATAGATAGTAGTAAAAGAGAAAAAATCGTAACCATTTTGTTATATTTTATAATATTTATAGATTAATTAATTAAAATGTACAAACATTTTACATATTACTACTGTATCCACACTATATGCATATATATATATATTATACAATATAGTATCAAATCTGAATACATACAAAATTTATACATTTTTTATAGTTAGAAAATAGATGAGAAGCAAATGCAAGGGAAATGTCATCTGTGAGGTGCTGTCGACGCCCCTAATTCATAGACAATTCAGTGCACACTTTATATATACAATACTTGGGATAAAAGTGATACTTATCTAAGGCATAACAAATGCATACATACCATACTTACATACAATATATAAATTTATAAACAGTACATACTGTACAAGTAATGCCTATTTGCATGTCATATATAAGCACTAAAATAAATGCTAATCTTTGTTTTGCATTATATATTATTTATTAAAACATTGAATGAGATTTCTCCCCTACTCTTTCACTCTCAATGTATGTGTGCCGTGAATGAGGAATAAAAATCAAAAATATTTAATTGTAAAAATCCAAACTCAAGATCAAACTAACTGTCCTTGAGTTCACATCCAAATTGAGAGTTAAAGCTATGTATCTATATATTTATATCAAATAAAAATCAAACTTTTATATGCTTTTCGTTGCTTAAAGACAGTACCTATTCTTTCATTTATAACTTTTGAAAACAATTGTTATATTAGTTTTGTATACACAATATATACTACAACTATACTATAAGTTATATAAAGTACAGTATATGCAATGAGAATAGGAGGAGAAATTATTTTCTTGTTTATTTCAGTCAATGAGTGAGTGAGTGAGTGAGTGAGTGTGAGAGAGAAAAAAGTAAATAATATTTTGGCAAACTTTTATGGCGTAATTTTTTTTAACTAAATTAGAAAATATTTAGAAATTATTTTTTGTTGAGAAATTTACTTTTATATATTTAAATATATGTTACTTTTAGACTTTGTTACAACAATATACACAAACAGATCACTGGATTTTCCACACTTTTAGCACAGTATAGAGGAAGTTGTCTTTTTTAATGGCGACTCCGACTTTTGTCTCAATAGCCTTATTGTGCGGCTTAGCGTATATACCGTATTACCATTTGTTATGCCCTATTAACCGGCACTGTCTTAAAAATAATGGCACTGTGTTTGTATGGACACCAATATATCGCTATCTTATTATATTTAATAATATACTCTATTATTAAGCTAATAGTTGTCTAAACACTAAATAGTATTGAGATTTACAGTCGATTAGAGACAAATACTATATACAGTATATTATATATATTAGTATATATATATAGCAAATACATAAAATATAGTAATATCCCATATGTAAGTATGGGATCAATTTAGTTGAATATAGTTGAGCCCGAAGGTCATAAAGTACATTAAGAGCTGCAAAGACATTAACAGCCTTGTTCTCCACCACTTCTAATGTTTTTACCAGCACTGGTCGTTCTGGTGCTGGTATTACCTGTATGTTGTCTGTACAGGTATGTACACATAGTCGTAGTCATATGTAGTATATAAATATATATGTATTGAGTGGTGTATTTTATGGGTATAGCCTATGGCTGTATTGCTTTAGACGCCATCATCAAGAGCGCCATCCGAGTCATTATCATTAGAAGTGGATGTATTGTAAAAAATAAGATTCAGGTTTCCTCCCATTCAGACCATGTTTTCCTTGGTTTATACCATTATATCTGTATATTTGTCTCTATGTGTGCTCTTGGCTTAGGCTATAAGGCCATCCTGTCTGATACCGGTTTCACTTTTTTGGGCTGAATATGTTACCGATTTAGTAAATTTGAGTTTATATCATATATATATATATATATTGACAACATTAAATACTATATTTATTACATTTAATAATTAGGTGTAAATAAAATAAATGGATTTCATTTAATACAAATAGATCTAAAAAATTAATAAACATTTGAATAACAAAAGCAACAAAATATCATAATTTGTCAACAAATATGTGCTTTGATTTTATCTTTGCCTTTCACTGCTAATTGCTTTTGAAAATTATGAGATGAAAAAAGCCTAATAGAGAGGACAGAGAGATAAATGTTTGCAAACAAGGAATTATTATAATATTATATTCATTAATAAGTTATATATAATTTACGATAGCTTTTGTTGTATTAATTGTTTTATTAATATAATATCAAAATACTCTCTGTATTTAAACAATTAATCCTCACTTATATTGTATAAAATTCATCATTAATATACTATTAAAATATTATTAATATCAATGGAAACCTTCATAATTAAGATAAATATTTCGGATTCTCTGTTGGTTTCACTAAATAAAACACGTATTTAATTAAAATGTGATTTTTTGATGAAATTTATTAAATAACTTGTAATAGTTGCATACATGATAAATATTATAAAAAATTTATTATTTAATATATTTCATCATATTGTATATGTATATAACACATTCTCTATATATATTAATGCAAAACACTTTTATTAAGTTATTCAATTAAATTGTAAGCCAATATATAGTATAAATAATGCCGGAAAAAATATAATGAAAATTTATTTAAAAATTCATGGAAATATTAATTATATTTAACGTTTGAGTCACTTATTGTTAGAAAATTTTTATTATGTGATGGCCTTTAACTTCGTTTAATGCATTAATGCAAATAAAATAATAATATTATTTATTATTTTGTTTGTCAAATGCAAAATATATTTTTACTATTATTTAAATATTTTACTTTTGTTTTATTTATTTTATATTCAAAGTTAATGTATAAATAAAAATAAATAACACAAATATGTATTTTTGTCATATATTTAGGTAAAGATATGGTTTCAGAACCGCCGGAGTAAATACAAGAAGATGTTAAAGGCTCAGCAAACAGGCAGTACTCAACCACCTCCTGGAGGCCAAACTGGTAATTCTCAATCAGGACAGACAGGTCCGGGTAATTCATCATCGGCTACATCATTAGGACCGCCAACAGCCGCTTCAACTCCCCAAACACCACCCGAGACACCAGAAACTCATTCGCCTCCTAGTGTAGGCCCTCCACCGGCATTACTATCGGTAGGACCGGGTGGTACATCAGTGCCGGGAAGCAACTCTTCGATCGCCACAGCCGTGAGTCCACCAGCAATGAGTCCGCCCATAACGGCCTGGGATATGGGTTCAGCAAAAGCGGCCGCAATGTCTAACAATTATATGCCTCAATACTCATGGTATCACCACCAACACGACCCATCTATGAACCAACAATTGCTTACATAACCCTTATGTTCATCAATAACAGCAACAATCACTACACAAATTAATTAATTTACTCAATTGAATGACAACCAAAAACTTTTTTTCAAATTAACTGATCTGTGATTCATGCGTTGAAATAATTGACTATTGAATCAAATATATATATATATATAAGTAAATCATAGACTGCTGTCACTAACTACACATACATATATTAAATACACATTAATGTATATATAGAAAAGGATGTGTAAAATATTGGGTCACAACATACACCACAACATACCTACGCCGGCAAACAAACTATCATTAGGCCAGCAGTTGTCACAGGTCTGGTCACTCAAATAGTGCTCTCTATTTACAACTTTTTTTTATTGATTTGTGTGTCTGTGTAACCAAATTATTGACTATTATTGACAATTGTGTTGATGTTATTATAAGCTCTGGCGATGAGCGGCTTATCCATGAGTGCGGCGGCCCTTAACATTCAAGTAGTTATAAATTGTCTTTTAAATTGATATTTACTATTTGTATAAATTAAATCTCTGTATATAAATAATATAAAAATATTGAATTATTATTAATAAATTAATTAAATTCGTGTTCATTTAAAATATAATTAATAATAATAATAATTATTATTATTATTTACTCAATAAATAAATAAATTTTGAGACCAAAGTTTTTTAATTATTAAATTACATATAAATTATAAATTCATTGTAAACTATTTCACTGATTATTTAATTGAAAGGTCTGTCGATAGTCTATTGTTTTGTTGAATTTTATACTAAAAACAAAGCATTTTTCACATTTTGACATAAAAATGTTAAAAAGTTACCAAAAAATACTCATTTTGTCAATAAACAAATAATTTATTAAATTATAATTTTTTCTTGTTTTTACTAATTAATTTTTTTTATATTAAAGTATAATAATTTCTACATTCTAATAATGATTATAATAATAATGCAGTAAATGCTAACTATATCAATAAAAGCTAAAATTATCTCAATAGAAAAGGTTTAATTAAAATAGCTTAATAATAATAATTATATTAGGCATATATTAACAATAAACATTACCGTAATAATAATTATTATTATGTACTGTTGTATATAATAATAATAATTTTAACATTTAGAGCTTTGAGAGTTAGAAAAAATTAAAAATAATACATATTTATTTAAAAATAAAATATAAATAATATAATATAGACTTATACAATATAAATAATCGTGTTAAAAATGATTTAGAAATATTATGTATCGATTACTAAACTATAAATTAAACATTTATATATAAAATTTCTATTTTTTTTTGTATTTTACAATTGAACTACAATTTTATGCCTTAATTATTGTCGCTATTTTGAAGTGTTGAAAAATGTGATAAATATTAATATATAGGCATTTTTAGACAAGTTTTGATACTTATGTATAGAAACATACATATAGAAAATTTTAATATTTACGGCATGTTATATGAAATAATATTAAGATTGTTTTAATGTGATTAACATGAATGTCATTTTACAACATTGCATATATTAGCAATTTGTTGTAATTATACGTTTTATTGCCAAATATTGAAATAATTTTATTATTCAAACATTAAGCAAAAAAATTGATTAAAAAGTTTATTTATTATTTTTAATCTTATTATTTATAAATTTAAGAAAATTTACTAAAATATTTTGATCAAAATATATATGTTAAATATAATTTATAACACAGTTACCGTATAATATGAAATTATACTGTAAATAGTAAATGTAAATTGCAAAGCAACTAAAGTAAAAATATCAATTTTAAAACATTAATTTATTGATAAAAATAATAATAAAATTATTTTAGGTTTTAACATAAAATACCAAATACTACTTTAAATAATTTAAAAACTAAATATAAAATTTTTGGTTTACATTAAAAAATATAAAATTTGTTATATATTATATACTTTATACAATAATGATTATAGTAATTTATCTAAGTTAATCTGTATTATTAACATTTTGAGATATAAATTGTAAAAGTTAAAAATAATAGCTTATAATTGTGGTGATCGACTGTAAGCGTGATTGTAGGACATACAGTATATATACATACATACATACATACATACATACAGTATATACAGTGAGAACCTGTGCTCATCACTAATTCAGAATAAACTGAGAGTCAGAGAATCGGTATATAATATATAATTCTAGTTCTTTGTCTATAATGACAGTGCCCTTAATATATACAGAGTTTCTTTAATTTGTAGTTATATTGTATTGGAATTGCAGTGAAAATAAGCCAAATTATGTTAATTATTTGAAATAATAAAAGATCTCTTTTACTTTAATATTGATATTCAAAGACCTGTTATTTGGTTTTAGTCTCAATGCAATTGAAGCCATTGCTTGTGCAACACATAACATATAACCAGCACATCAGGTATTTATATACTCATAAGGAGTCGTCCGATCAACAAATATACTCTTCAATTGCTTTTTATCATTGAGTGAAATAAGTTTAAGAGAATCGCTTCAATAAATATTTAAAATTAAAGTCAAACAAATGTCAACAAATAGTTCATCACTTTCGCCACACTTTTGGAAACACTTTCACCCAATGCACACATATTTATATATTGTAAGTATTTATTTAATAATTTGTTTACATTTATATGATACAGTATTGTCTATAATGTATATAAAAAAATGTTGATTCACATGATTTATCTCATTAAAAAAAAATTATTTTTGTATTGTATTGCTATTAAAAACTGTTTACAATTTAACCAGAACTGAGATTTTTCAATTTGTCTCTAATTTCAAACTCTTTTATTAGTAAAACCAATATTTTTATTTACAAATCAATACTAATAATACAGACATTCATAGTGTTTGGCTTTTCGCTCTTTTCATCGGAAAAGTTTGAGGCCTTTTTGAGCCGTTTTTAGAAAACAATAGTTTTGCTGAGCCTTTCTATACAATATTCAGTAGTTAAGCAAATGTTAGGCCAAAAACAGGGCGCGTGCAGTGCCATCACGGGTATTGACTTTTAGCAATACCTTAAACGCCGGTCGTAGCGCATGTATGGGTGGGGTCGGACACCGTTGGGGTTCCCACTTTGCAAATCTTTTTTCTCACTGTTTTGGATACCGCATCATACATACGGTACATATCATTCAAATTTTAAGCCCTAACCAACAGCAATAATATTATTAAAAAAGATTTTTGCAAAACATGTCTCAATTGTGGGCAGTTATACATAAAATATAATTCATTCATTTAAGCTTTTTAACGCATACCGAGAGAAAGTATAGCACAGTTACATAGTATACAGTATATCTGTTTGGTATATATATATATATACATATCAAACAATGTGCACGTGTAGCTTATATGCTTATGTAATGCGGGCACTAATGTCTCACTGGGGACTGCCATTAATATTGATTCCTAGTCCATCCAATTCACGTAAAGACTAGCGACGCCTCATTATAACCACTATATTCTGTAACCCATATTATATACAAAACTTTTTTATAATCATATCTAAAGCAATGCTTTTTGTTATCAATAATATGAACTTATTGTAAAATTATAGAATGAGTAGTGAGTGAGAGTGAGTGAGTGAGAGAGAGAGAGAGAGAGAGAGAGAGAGAGAGAGAGAGAGAGAGAGAGAGAGATGAATGGTTTTGCACGAAAAATAGGCATTAATATAACGTTTTATCAATTATTCTCTGCACTCGAGGTTCGTGTCGGTCAGAGGCGTTAAAGAGCTCAGTCATACTATGCATACATATGACTGCATCGTTAATAATGCAATTTCTCATTAATATGTACTTCAAATGTGTATCTGTTATCTTTCAATCCGTCTTTCTTTCAATTTTATGTTTACAATACAGTGATAAACTTTTTTTTTAAAAAGTATTTCACTTCTCTCTAAAATTTATAGGATGTGAACCATAGCTAATACATAAATATATCAATAAATGTCATCCATTATAACAATTGTTAAGAGGTTAGGTATTTCTTATTTAATTATGTCATTTTAGGCCAAATTGACAAATACTGTAAATAATATATATATATATATATATTGTATATTTTGGCCACTTTTCAAAAAAGGTTAGTAAACTTTAGTAAACAAATAATTATATAATACATTCTAAATTGTAATATAAAATATATGTTAAATTTTATTTTATGTTTAATTGTATTTATTTATTTAACTCTTGTTTAACAAATAGTCAATTAGTCGCTTTAAATATAATAATTAAAATACATAAATATTATAGTAAAGTTTAAAATTTCAATAGAAATATGTAATTGTCGTATTAAAAAGGGTCGCATTAAATATATAAGCATTTATAGTATCTTTTTCTATATCTTGCAAAGTATTGAATTTGCATAAAATATATAATTTATTTAGAAAATCGATAAAACGATTTGATAAAAGCAATGTTCAAAATAAATGTTTTTAAGTTTTAATGGATTATTCAATCATTAATCATTTAGAAGTTTTTTTGAAATCTTTTGAAATGCTCAGGAGATTCATGGCTTCATTTAAATAACATTTTATTAATATTACACTATTATAAATGCATTCTTTAAAAATATATTTTAATATAAATTAAAATTATTTCTATAAGTTTAAATGATTCCTAGTTTAAGTTTTAAAATAAAAAAACAAATAAAAACATTTGTTTACAAAAAAAAAACATTTTGTAATAATTGAATATATTATATTATAAAATGTAATCTTAAATCAAAATATACGACAATTTTTTTGTATTTTTTGTATTTTATAGATTTTATTTGTCATTTTTACTTTTATTTTGTATTTAAGCATTAATGCAAATATTTTAATAAAATATTTTAAACAATTTAATTGGTACTATAATTAAAATATAATTTATTAATAAAATGTTTTGCATATTTGTTGTGTAAATCAAAGCAGCAATTAATCGATTGAACAATTTATCGATAAAAGTGTAGGTTTTGGCTGTTTTTTCTAAACATTTTA